TGTTTAACCGTCCTCGTGCAAGTATAGTAGTTAGTTCAAGGAATAAGTTTATTAAACGAGAATAGTTTCGAATAGTAAAATTCTTTTTGACGAATGTGCTTACTGAATCACTTGGTGGTTTAAGGCGTATACTGTAATTATTAAATATTTATATATTATTTGCACAAAATGGATATTGGGATAATGGTGGAATCGAGCTCAATTAATCAAAGAAATCATATAAATTCTTTTTCGTTCGTGAAGGATAATTAAAAAAATATCAATAACAACGATACGATCGGAGCCAACGAAACCGTGAAAAATTCTCTCACCTCGCTATATAATTATCGCTAGCTCGAGGAAAAGTGGTGTACGTTGGAATTAAATAAATTTCACGGCTGACCTGGATACCGTTACCACGCATCGAACGCTCAAGAAATTCCATTCAGTTGTACGGATGGAAATCGTGTCGCGGCATTAATCAGAGCCTGACGAAGTAGGCTCCGTCACGATGTTCGCAAACACGTTCAATCGAATCCTCTCCCCCCGCTTCTCTCTCGAGCACGCCCGTTCAACAATCCCGGCCGGGGAAACGGCAAGTTCCGAAGAAAGGAAAAGCTCGGATCGTGTCCCGGTTCGAAATCCCATTACCATATCAAAGGAGGCCGCGATATCGCGAAACTCTCGAAACTACCTTCAACAGCCCTTCTTTCGACCGCTGTCGCTTTCAACCCTCCTTCCAGCCCTAATTTCCGACGAAGGAACTTCTCCGTTCTCTCCGTTTCGAAAATCGAGGAAAACAGGAAGTGTGACTCGATTATCGATATTATAATCGATACTATGTCTAAGGTTAATCCTATTTGTTTTTTTTTTTCTTTCGAAGAGAATCCAGCGGACGATAATTTTATTTTGGAATATTTTTAGAAATTTCGATTTGAAAATTGTCTTATTTTTGTTCGTATTTATTTATATGTAAATAATATATAACGGTATAAGAATCGTTATAAGAAAATCGTACGTTTTTGTGTATTCTAATCTATCGTATTTTTAAAGATATTTTAAGCATGTACATGGATGTAGACAGGTTTCGATAAAGAGATATAAAACATCTCGAGCACAATTTAATAAAATACGTGAATGAAATAGAAACGGGGAAATACTTGTAATGATACAATTTGGAAAAAGTGCACGTACGTTAAAAATTAAATGGAAACGTAGTTTTCATTGAAGAATCGTTGCGAATTTTTAACTCCTGTTTCGTGTTCGATATTTATCGGGAATTTTATCGGTGGGACAAAGGTTTGGAAACGCGGGGCGGAGGCCAATCCTCCGTGTCCGAGCGGGGTAAATTTGGAAAGAAGGGGGTTGAAAGAGGGGTGGGCCGGCGGTTGGAAACGATTTAAGCCGAGGCGCGAGGGTGTGTCGTGTACCCGCCGTTCACGGATGAATGTCGCGGGAGTTGTAATTGCAACGAGGCGTAATTAGTTTTGGAAATTTAATTATTTCCGGAGCGCGCGATAAACGCCGCAGGCGGAAGCCTTTCGACGAAGAATTATCGGACGACTTTCCCGACCGTGGCGCCCGTTAATCCCGCTTCGAGCAACCTCGAGCCAATGGAAAATCCTCGTGTTTCGAAACACTCTCTCTTTCCGTTCCCCGCGACGACACACGGGGAGTCTCCCCTCCCCGCCCCGCCTTTTCCGCCTCGCGGAATAATCCGCGTCGACAAGCGTCATTCGGCTGCTTTGTTAATCAACCTCGAACGCCTAAGGACAAGTCTAATTTTGCGGCTTCGAGGCTGAGTGTCGAGACGAGGATGAGGTATGGATGATTTCGTTATGGATGATCGATTTTCGATCAGATTAGGTCGATCGTTTGTTCTCTCTTCGATGAACTTTTTAAGTAATCTGTTGGGTATAATAGATAGGAATCGAATTTTCTTGGGATCTTAAATGTTAAGAGGAGAGGAAAATATTGCGGGATCTCTTGTCGATTCGGGTTAAAATTAGTTTTATTGAATTTCAAAATCCTTGACACGATTCGTTATATTATATTTTAATCGGCGACAATTAAAAATAATTCCAAAAGATTTACTCTCTTCGGCTATTGAAAACATCGCAACGTCATCGGTTCGAGGTTAATTTCTTGTATCATTTCTCGACATCCTGCCTCAACTAAAACTGTTCAGAAAATTTACAAATCCCTTCGATTCGATCGGGCGGAACGAATTGTTACACGTTTGTAGTAGTCGTTTTTTCCTCACATTTTTATGAAACGATCTTTCTCCAACACGCGGTAATTACTTGGTACGGTTGTCCATTTCATAGTTGCATAATTGGGAAGGGGAAAAGAGAGAGAGGGGATTACGATTATAAACATTCGCGATTGGCGGTATACATTAAACGAGAAGTGAATGCAAATCGCAAAGCGGTTACAAAACTTTCTTATGCGTCATCGGCGTTCCTTGAGCACACGTTCAACACGATTTTTCTCGATGTGACGTGTGGAGTTGCGAGATACGACGCGAGCAAGTACACCGTTAGAACACACTGCTTATACACTTTATAAACTACTTTTTCAATAAGTAAACGACGAAGAATATTCGAACAGTGGTTCTTTCATATATGTCTTGTCGAGATATACATATATATTATTCGTGAAGGTAATTAAAATAACTTGATGTCGATATTGCGATCGCATAGAGCGAATTTGGATACTTTGGATACCGCTACTCTCGGCATTGTTTAAAATTTTCAAATAATTATAATATTGAAATTTAATTTTCCAGATATTTTTAAAACACGTTTAAAAGTGTAATTTATCTCGGAATATAATAATGATTATTACCCTATAAAAGATTGTTCGGTTAAAAGCTAAGATAATTGTTGCAATGCAATATATTAATAAATAAAATTTTACGAAATAGTGTAACGCGTACTTGCATTTTACGGGCGGGGAAAAAAAAGAACGCGTATTGTTGTAATAGCCTTTTACAATATTTTCCGCCATTCTACACGCGTTCCGAATTGGCGAGTATTTATATCGTGTTTGATGTCATAGGAGGGTGCTAGAAATTTGGATACATGGGAAATAACAAACGAGGGGGGGGGGGAAAGCTATTCGCGCAGATATATATTCCATCGCAAAGGATATCACTGCGATGCTTTTATGATTCGAGGCTGGACGAGTAGGGGGTGGAAAATAAAATACCCGACGAGACGCCTGGCATCCGACGACGTAACAAACAGCGATTTCCAAAACGCGAGTGCCATTTTGAGAGAAATTTAAAATTTGCCCGATTCATCCGAATTTTTCGAGTGGGGAAGGAAAATATGCATATAGGATGCAATTTCACAAAAGAACGCAACCCTTTATATACGATATATATTTTCATACACGTATATTCACATCGATTGCTTTGCGCAACAACGCTCCACCACGACGGCCTCGTTACAACCTTCGTTTATTGGAAAACACCGTTGGCCCAATATTGATCCAATGAATAGAGGAAAACGGTCGGTTGCAACAATACCTGTGATACGATTAAATATGTACCTACGACAATTCAATTCTATTAATTTAGATGTCGAAACTGCCCCGCCGTATTTATCGAGCCCACTCCACCCCTATCAAACTTATTAAGCGGCGAACAAACGGGGCGCGCCATCTACGCCAGCCTTTTTGTTCCATCCGCCATTATACAAACGCGTCGATTGCGTTTTTATATATTCATCGCGCCCTTGCGCAAGCAAACTTACGCGAGCTTCGACGAGTTCACCCCTCGACTGCCACTTAACGACTACAACTAAATAGAAAACCTTCGGTTCCTTTGCGCGCCACAGGCCCATTCTTTTCTCAAACGTGGTACGCCACCCTTTTCTCTTTTTTTTTTTTTTGTATTCTTTCTTCGCTTTTCGCAAGGGTCCTCCATCGAAAGGACGTCTCTCTGCCACGTGTGTTTTCGTTCGCGATTACGTTTTCAGAAATTAATGGCAAACTTAGAAGGAGGCGGGGTCCGCTCCTTCAAAGGGCCGTTTTCTTTTCCCCCCCGTGTATATTTTTCGTCGACGCGCGTTTCCACTCCAGATTAAGCTTTGAAAAATTGATCGATTTGCAAACTCATCGAAGAGAAAAATCGAGCGGATAATATTTTTCGATCGATTTTCGCGATTAGCCTTTCAGAAATTAATGCCAAGCCAAGATCGCGGCTGGATCCCTCGACGAGCCCGTTGTATCCCTCCACCCTCCACCGCGAATTCTAAGAACGAGTGCGGACGACAGGGTGAAAAATTTATCGAGTCCAGACCCCCGGTGTTACCCCCGAAAGCGTTCCCAGTCAACCGGTGCGCGGCCGTCTTTTCAAACGGATCTTTACAAAAGCTGTCTCTCCCTCCGAGCTTTGTCTGGATGAGCCACGGTCCTGCTACCTTTCCCCTCCACCTTCCTCTTCCCCTTCATGAATCTTTGAAAGTTCATCGCGAAGCTGGGAATCGGCGTTGTCTCCTTTTGTTTCGACGGGGTTCGGCGTGCCGTCAGCTGGAAGCACGCGTTTGGAAGGTCGATGAGCTCTTTTGTATCTACCCGGTTCGTTGATTAGGGGGATCTTGGTGGTTCTTCGGATTTAGAATCGTCGTAAGAAGTTGTCAAGATATGCTTCTTGAAGAGAGAACGATGACATTAGTTTATAATAGTTTGTCTTAAAGGGCCGTTTAATCGAATAATTTATTTATATCATTTTATATCTTGAAATTCGCGTTGATCGATGATATAAGTAAATCGTTTGTAACTTGGCGATCGCTTCATAATTATTTGAAATTTTTTTAAGAAGGGACCAAAGGAAATCGCTTCCTGGCGATTTCCTGCTCCGTTATCGAAGCGTTATTTCCTCCTCCGTATCTCGAGCTCCGTGGGAAAAATAATTCTCCCAGGGACGAAGAAAAGCGGCGGGCTGGCCTTGAGCCCTCTCCTTAGAGAGACCATGAAAGAACTACGTACTAACCGAGTCCATTTTTCTGTTTCAGCAATCATGGCTCACTTCTTCTTCCTTGCCGCGTTCTTCTGGCTGAACACGATGTGCTTCAACATCTGGTGGACGTTCAGGTGAGTGTAGTATATATATATATATATATATGTATCTCTCCCTTCCCTTTTGTCTGATCATCTACAGAGTAACGGAGCACGTACGACGTTGCCTATTTGCGGCGGGAGATTTTGCCACGTGTGTACTCTTCCGTGCCACTGGCCCCGAATCGAATCTACCAACGATTGTGCCCCGCTAAGATTTATTCGATCGTACCACCTTTCCCTCCGTATTTTCTCTTTTAATTTTCTCCGCTCGAAATACTCAAAGCGCGAACGTTCAAACGTGTCCCCGTGCGAGCATTTTTCTGAGAAAAAAGAAAAAGAAGAAGAAGAAGAAAAAGAAGAAGAAGGAGGAGGAGGAGGAGGAAAGAGGAGGAAAAAAAAAAAAAAATAGAACGGCACGCGACGAGCGGTGGCGTCACGTTGCAATTAAAGCATCCGTTTGGCGGAGGACGAGCGAGGGAATAAAAAATTATGAAAATTCGCGGAGCGGTAATTGGCAGAGAATTTCAGAGGCGAAACGAGGTTGGTAACGGGAATTCGTCGAGCCTGGCCCGAGTTGAGGAACGAGTAACCCCGGTGGCTCGTGTGTACGCCGTTAATTAACACAACCGGGCTGCAGGTTATCGACCTGGCCGAGTTTCGTGTCGCGTCTTCGATCGGAAGGCCACCGCTCGCGATTATGCAATTGCCGTGTTACGTTTACGTAACTCCGCAGCGCCATCTGGCAGTAATTCATAGGATCAATCGCGCGGGAAAGTGCGACGGTGGTTGCATTGCTAAGCGTGAAACCGCATCAACGTTCGCTTTAAAAACATATATCATACATTTTTATCGAAGCGGAATTCTTCCCTATATTTCCCTAGAAACTTTCTCTATAGATAATCTAATCTCTATAGATAATAGATGTAGTTTTTAATCGTTTTAAAGTGTAAAAAAATCTCGTTTCTTATCCTGTCGCGATTGAAATAATACCGTCTTTATCTTCTATCCCGCGAGCTCGACAAACGAATCGAATTATCGCGATTGTTAACGTAACACGATTAACGATTTATTATCGTATACACGCTACGCTATGATCGCGTGTTGACCTTTATTCACGAGAATCGTGTAGGGATCGAAGAAGCAAGTGGCAACGCTTGCGAGAAATCGGTCGTGGCGGTGAGAAGTTACGCGTTACGCCGAACGGGTGCGAACACGTAGAGCGATGATCGTTAACGGCCGGATCACGTTTGAGTTTGAGGGATCGGAAGGGGAAGAAGCGGAGCGCCGTCGCGGTGAGAGATGGGATCAAGATCACTCGGTCGACCGGTTAATGGGATGCAATACGGTCGCCATAACGGGCCCTTCCCTTCTTTCCTCCGCTTCTTTCGCCATTTTTTCTTCTCCACTTTTTCCCGTCTCTCCCCTTTTTTGCTTCTCTTTTCTTATACCAGCTATATACTCTTTACTTGAACTTTTTCGTCCGTTTTCTTTTTTTCCCTTCTTCTTCTTAAATCGAGGCACTCTCCCGGAAGAGTTAGAGATCTAAGCGTGAAAATTCGTAAGATATTCGATGATTCGAGTTCAATCGAAGATCGAGGGAAGGTCGAGTCGCTCGAGTATATACTCGTATAATTCACGGAAAGAAAATATTTCATCATTCCATTTATCTAAAATTTTTATCTAAATTTATCTAAAATCGCGGTGTGGCGCAAACCAATTCTCAGTTGCAACGAAAAGCGGTGCATCCGCGTCGATGACTTGGACGTTGCCCTTTTATCGGCGATTTTCTCGCAGCGTGCACACACACTGGCGGTACGTGTGTCAGCGACACGTGCGCACGCGTTCCGTATCCACTTGTTGAGGTGTCACCGACACGTTGCGTTTACGCTACCTGCTCTCTGCCCGGCTTCGTGATTTTCCGCCCGGAAAATTAGCTCGGTGTCATTTGCGGCTGTGCGCCCCGCCGATCCACCCATCCCGCCGGGGTTAAACCGTTTCATCCGCGGTTTTTCCCCGCGCTATCTGCGCCTAGGCGGCGCTCGCCGCGCGCCTCCACCTTTATTCGAAAGGAAGGAGGCACGATGGATGTCGAAACGGGCAATAATTTATCGAATTTAATTAGCCGGGTTATGAGAGCCTTCATAATTGGACGGGTTGAGCAACAATTCTCCACGTCGATCGTAAAGTAATTGCGTCGCTTCGCTTGCCCGTTGCCGCGCAATCATCATCTATCTCGGTTATCGATTGCATTTCTTTGTTCCCGAACTTGTGTCGATTCTCTACGCGCGTTTATACGAGTCATGATCCGGGGATAAATAGTAGGAATAGAAGTTGCGCCGATTTCCATTGCTCTTTTTGTTCAAATTCAGGGTTCAGGGGATCGGATGTAATGATCGATGGATTCGTTCGGTGTATTCAGCTCGTGTTTCTTTTTTTTCTTTTTTTTTTTTCGAATTATGCGTATGAAACGAGTCTTTGTTTCGCATCCTCTCGTAATGGAAGCTTAGAGTTTGTTATGAATTATTCATAAGGCATTCACGGGGAAAATTTCGTTCCAATAAATGGATTTCCTCTTGAGAAACGTGTAGCGAGTTCAATTACGAGTTGAGAAAAATTTATTGAAAATCATTCGGTAGAATGGTTCGTAAAGAAGAAAAACCTCGTTCCAGTGGTTTCCATTCGATTTCCACGAACGATTTTCTTTCGTTCCTCTCCTCCCGAGAAACGCGTGTATTCAACACGCCTAGGAAAATTGCACGTGCGATTAAAGTATAAGCACGGTATCCAAGCCATGAATCGATGGCATCGCGTCACGCTTAATTGCCGACGAAGAAGGCAGCTGGTCTTGAAGCGTCTGAAAGAGCAAGACTTACTCGCTTCTTACTCGCCAGAGGTAAACTCTTCGAAACTTGCTCCGCGCGTGCGCCCATTTTCTGAGAAATTCTTCAATTACCTAACATCCAAGACAGCTTCCCACGGTCAGCGAAGTCGTTGCACGCTCGCATACCGACCAACACGTATTCACCACGAAGATTGACCTTGTCGTCGTCGTCGTCGTCGTCGTCGTCTTTGTCGTCGTCTTTGTCGTCGCTCGTTGCTCTCGACTTTTGCGCGCACTCAACGAGAGAGCGTTTCTTCTCTAAACGAATTTGCATTCCTACAAGCCTGGCTGGTAGAGAAGATCTCCTCCGCGAGAGAACTCGCTCGTGATGCGTGTCCTTTTACGTGTCCTGTTCTGCCTCCGCGAGCTCCTCGCTCCGGATTTTCACGAGAAAAATTTCATGACAGAGAGTTGATCGTTCTCGAAATCTTTCACGGAAAGATTTTTTAACGAAGAAGGAGAGGGAAGGGATTTAAATTTAAAAAGGAATGTTTGAAACGAAACATTTTGGAAAGATTTTTTTCTTAACGAAGAAGACGAAAGATGATATTGAATTATAGATAGAAAGTGGAATATTACGCGAGGCTTTATTTTTAAGAATAAGAAAGGGAAGAAATGAAGAAGAAACGAGATAAAAATCGGGGAGATTTTTTCGTACGATTTGGATGAGTTTTAGAGAGAAAGTCTGGTCACGAAGGGAGATCGTTTTTCGAAGGGAGGTTAATGGAAATCGTTAGGGCGAAAAAGCACGGATTTCGTGTGTTAACTCGAAGTAAAGGCACGATCGATCATTGTCAAGATCGAAGAAGAAACTCGTCTAATCTCGGCCGCGAAACAATGGTCGGACAGTGGGACAGAACGAAGAACAAAGGCGGAATGTATCGTTCGAGGATCGTGGTCAAGTGTATATTGGCCTTCCACCGTGTGTGTGTGTATGTGTGCACGTGTACGTGTTGCTAGTTAGGGGACTTCACTGTTCTCGAAGAGTGGCTCATTAACTTCGTTTATCTCGTCCCCGATAGCTGCATCAGGGACTCGGCTTCTTTTGCCACACAAGATCGCGCTACACTGCCAACGAGTTAATAGCATCGATCGTTACTAATATATATATATATATATATGTGTGCTCTATATGAGGAAAATTCCTCGCAAAAAGATGTATATTGCACGGATGTAAAACGTATCCACTATTCCCGTTATTATTCGCTTCGAGATCTGTGTATTTTCAAACACTCCAAAGATTGGCAATATGAGAAAATATGGGTCCATAATGTAGCAGAAATGTTTTCAGAATTTTTACAAGGAGCTAGACAAGGAGAAACGGATAATCAAAATTACTTTTATTCGTGTTTTACGATTCGAGAAGATCTATCGCGTTATTTATTATTGGCTTCGAAACTTCTCGATACGAGATCTGTGTATTTTCAAATATTCCAAGATTCGCAAACTGAGAAAATACGAGTCCATAGCAGAAATTTTACGAATTTTAACGGCTAAACAAGGATAAATCTTGCCTCTCTCTCTCTCTCTCTCTCTCTTTCCATTTCCATTTCCTTGCGTTTAAATCCATCGCAACCCCCGGCGCAAAGTCTCGTCACGGATCTTAACCTAATATCGTTTAAGACGATCAGGAAACGGGACGCTGGGTCAAAGATCCGACGTTGTAGTCGGTGGCGGATGACAGAATTGATAGAAGCGAGGGGAATTCGCGATCCGTACCCCAACTCTTTGCCAAGATTCGTTTTCATAACTAGAAAGTTTGTGCCTCGAGGCATTCAAGGCGATACCCAAGGCGAGGCGGAGTTGGCAAGCGCGGTGGCGGATGAGAAGAAAAAGAAAAAAGTGAAGGAAGGAGGAAAAGGGAGTTTCAGAGACGCTTCGGGGACGTGATCAAGAACACCGGCCGGTTTGTCGTGGCGCGCATCCCAACGAAGCTTGATTAAGGTCCCTTCTGTTCTCGAACACAGTAGCTCATTAATTCCGTTATCTCATTTTCTGCAGTCACCGGATCTCTTGACCAACGGATCGAACCAATTGCCCTCGCGTTACCCCGTGCGCGCTGAAAAAAAAAAAGGAGAAAAGAAAAAACGTGCCGGGGAAATCTTCATATTGCGAAGGAGCAGAGGAATGGGTTCCACCGTTTTGCCGGTGG